ATCCTATGCTAGCGTGTCTGTATTTTGTGTATATATTGATCGCTCAACCTGTGTTGTGTGTATGACCACTAGAGGCAGGTCGAATATTGTCGTCGGTATGGATTTCATAGCCGCGTTATCTTTATTTTCAACTATTTCTCTGCCAAATGATTCAGTTTGATTCTAAAGGCGAGACACAAATTCTAGTAGAGTCTAGTTACATTCAATTTTATATATTTTTGACACAAAACCTCTAACGAAGGTCCTGCATCTAAGCGTCTGACAGCTCACTTCTAGCGCTACGAGACAAGTGTCAAAAGTTGTGACACAGATCGTTCAATGTATTATTGAATCTTTTTTATATTTGTTAATAAAGTAGACAAAAAAAATAAAAATGTCACGAATGTGCAAAATTGATTTTTGTGAGAGCGTAGCAGGTGATAAACATCAATTTTATAAGTAAAAAATGTTTCTTTCATTACGGAACATTGTTGATGCGTTCAATTTGTCGCGTTCATGAGTGCGTCTAACGACGTAAAGAATTGAAATGAACTTCACTGAATGCGCTCATCGCAAATTCGTGTTTTACTTTGTTTTGTTAGTGTGGTGCAGGAGTTGTGGCCTCTAATTTTTCTAGTTTTGATGCAAAAGTGCTAATATTTCCAGTAAAATCGGTTGCAGAACGTATTTCACTGTCAATACAACGCTTATGAAAGACCTAACGGGACTATTTTGTCGTTGTTAATAAACAATACGTCCATAAGCGTTAACATTCACTAATTTCTTCTATTTTTCCTATTATCGTTGAATAATGTTCTAATTTCACTCATTTAAGTTCGGCATCTCCCCACTAGGTTTGATTATAATTTATATAGGGTTTTTGTACTTGTATGAAACATTTAAAAAATCTTATCGCCTCTTTTTTTTCAAATCAAAAACTCTTTTTGAATTCATCACAGAGTTATTGTTGACATCTGATAGTTGTTTGTGGCGCTAACTCTATTTCAACTTCAATATCATTTTAGGCAAAAACCTTATCGCTTCTTTGAACACTGCAATTAACATTGGTCAGATTTTTTCAGAGGAAGCTAGGTTTTCAGCACTAAACGTTACGTTTCACCTCGAAATGGAAGCGATTCATATCTTGGATAAATTTTACTGCATTTTGATTTATTAAACAATGAAAAAATATTCATACCTTTTTGGTTTTAATGATGGAACACGGACTCTATTTGCATTGATTTTTACTAGTGATTTTCCGCACAAACTTGTTTGATAGGAAAAGCATTGGTTTTACTAGCCGAAATTTCATGACTCCTTCTCTTTCCGACCACTATAAAGTCACATCAAACTGCTTTCAGCACATAACTGCACATTGAATGGCAATGAACAAATCCCATCGATCAAGGCCTATCTGCCCCCAAAAATACTTTGTTCACTATGAAAAATGTGTAAAATTGCGTTGGTTGCATGGCGTCGTCCGCGTTCGCGTTTTTTGTTCGCCGGATAACTCAAAAATTTGACTAGATAATTGAGATCTGTAAGAGTCAAAAGCTTCGACATGTTGAGACAAAGCTTCGAATTGATTTTGAGCCCATTCTGACTTTTCAATTTTGTACCAGACGCCTCGGACTGAGGACATGAAAACCCTTGTAAAATAACACTTTTGGGAAGTACTCGAAAAAAGTATTTTTCAGGGTTTTGGTCAAGGCAAACTGTGATTTTTTTGCAAAAGGAATGGGGGTCTTTTAACAGCCAAACACCTACTTGCCCATAAATCAGGCCTGAAATTGACATTTTTTGAAATTTTCTGAATTTTTGTTAAAAAATGACACTTTTTCATTGAAAATCACCCAAAAAGCTATATTCCATGGTTTAGATCAATGCAAACTGATATTATTTTGCAAAAATAAGTCGCAAATAGAATTAATTGGGATCTAGGCCCAATCAGAATGCTTTCCTATAAAATTTATAGGGTGCACTATAAAATGAAAAAAAAATATGTTGTTGCTTTTATTGAATAAAAAAAATAAAAATTGAAGATATGTAATCAAATAAAATTGCATCAAAATATTGGAAAAAAAGTCCGCATAAATATAAAGCATATGCACGATATAAAAAGAAATCATTCATTTTATCTAAATTTCTATAAATAACGTCAGTTTTAAGAGAAGAAACGCATGTGCGCATGCGAAACGATTAAAAATGCTAAATGTTGACGGGAATCATTAGGACACATTTGTTCTCAAATCTCATATTTTCTCTAATTGATAAACGCTCAAAAATGCGTGGCTTGTTTGTAATAACAAATTAATGATATGATATGTTTTTAAACGCACGCAAGTTTTTCAAGAGCGATTTGGTCGGCGAAAAGACAAACACTGAACAAATCGCAATTTGCGCAGACGATGAAGTTGTGAAGATTCACTGTATCAGCTCATTTTGAACGAAACACATGAATACTTGTCAATTAGTGTCTAATTAATGATTCATTTTCCGCCAGCATCGTCACAAACTGAGTAGGAAAATTCGAAACTCGCACACGCACATACACGTAATAAACGAGCCTAAAAGGTTTGGGTGGTTAAATGGCTCATTTAATTTGATGTTTATGTGCGGCATTCGCAATATTCTCTCCTCTTCACGGATTATATTTTCGCAATTCTTTCCACTCAATTCAGAGTCTGTGTGCTGTGTGATGTGCACAAGTCTCAATGCTGGGCTATGTGCTATATTCATTCATGTAAATATAAATATGTGCCACTAATGGCACAAAGCAGCTAAAATCTCATTTATACGGGGAGATTGTATATATTCACACGAAATGTAAGTTGTTCGCGTGCTAGATGTAATCGTTGGCGTCTATATCAACTTTTGCGTTTTCACGCCAAATTTTCCTTGCAATAATCGTAATGAAAACAATATTACAAAAAAGAGCTTTTTCTAACTAGCAAAAAGATGTAAACGTCAACGGAAAAAGAACGGATAGTCGTCACAAATTGAATGGATTTTTTTAATCTATTTCTAATTTTATTAAAAGAAAATATTAGCCGTTCAATTTATGCATTATTTTAAAATCCTCAAGATACGTATAACGGGTACATATCGTCCCCTATTTTTCTGCCACTTTGCGTACCAAAGCAATCGCAGAAATTACATCTTGATTGAGTGCAAACAATGCTGAAAATATGAATAAATATGCAAATCTGAAATGAAGAAAAACTTTTCAGCGATAACATAATTTTTGCAGATATTCGTTTCATTTATACCCGGTAAGTGCAACTTCAACACATAAAATCGCTTTGCTTTGTTTGTTGTTCATATTTATTTAATTAGGCCCAATTATCTTGTTATTGACTGGTGCACAACGGTCTGTTGGCTCTCGCTAATTTATTTTTAACAGAATGATTCAAAATGATTTCATGCCTAGTTTCATATGAGACCGAAAGTATTTCTAACTTGAAAAATTATAATAAAAAACTATGCTTGAACTCGAATCACGAAGAAAGCAAAACATGATATAACTTTTAGTCCCGTTCAGTCTAGTTCAGTCTTCTATCTTGAAGTATGGTAAAAACATCAATAGCAAATGCTGTAGATATGTATGACGGTGTGTGTTAGCAATATTTTGTTAGAATATATCAATATTATGAACCGGTCATAGTTTAGGTAAAATAAAAAAGGTAGTGAGAAAAATCCTTCGGACAAATTGAGAAGTTCCGTGAATCAAATAATTTCGATAAATAATACTCGACCTATCTCTGAGTATCCTCTCTCCATTTTCCACTCCCGCTTACACTCGAATCGGTTAATTTCAGACGTGATCACTTGCTATCTGGGCAGCGGCTGCTGGCAATTGTATAGTCAAAAGTAAAATATAAACGATAAACAAAATGTCCCGTCATATATGCTATAGCATGGCTGGTGCACAAACTCTACTCAGATAACAAGTGAACACGTCTGGCTAATTTAATACATAATCATCTGCTTCAGCTCTGCATGACTTCAAGTGGTTTAAAGCGCACGCCGAATACAAAAGCAAACATCAATTTGCACGACGTTTTGAACTTCATAACGAAATTGAGTACATATCAGCAAATAGTCAATTTTCGTTTGGTTGAATAGACAAGTTTCGCCATCAGTCCGGAAGACTGGAAGGAACTGTGTATGGGAAGGAGGCACGTTGCCTAAGCGCCTTTCAATTCACGCATCACCATCGAATTTTCGATGGTTGCTGGTGTGCGCGAGTTGAATTTTTTTGCACTAAAAACTCATTCCCAAAAGAGACTAGAGCTGCTTTACATTTTCGTTTTCATTCTCAACTTGAGCGTCCTATCTCGAGCTATGCAAAGTCATGGATTGAATGAAACTTAATTATGAATTTCTCTGAAAACCGCTTAAATCAATTGGTTGAACGTTTACTAAAATGGCCACGCTCGATCTCTTTTATTTGCGTGCTTGATTGCGGTGTCGAATAAAATCCAATGGACTCATTACAAACCGAACTACAAGTTGAATGAATGAATTTATTTTTCTCGGTCAATTATCGGTGTAATTTTTATCGTTTGTGTGTGTGCGTAGAATACTCGATGAATGTATTTGTAACGCGATGTTGATGGTCTCCTTGTACTCGCTTGTCTCCGTCTTTCTCTATCTCCCTCCCTCTACTATCCTTTTATTATTGCGATTGAACTTTTGTTGGAGTAGCGCTTTTTTCATGTTATCGTTTATTATGGTTGTTGATATACCAACGAACGAATATTTGTGTTGTAAACGTACATTTTCATCTCATAATCCGATATAGTGAAATTAGACAATAAAAAGCAGTTTCTCAATGCAAATAAAGCAATGGTTTCCGCCTGGTCATTAACATTAAAAGGCGGAGTCAGACGTCGAGTGTTTGATCATTGGCTGCATAAAATAGGGGACGTCTATACACTACGTTACACTGAGCGTAGCTGTAGCACCAAACGCTGGTGCTGTGTTGATGCTGCATCAGTAGCTGACTAGCATCGCAGTCAAGAGCGGCTTAAATGATACAAAAATATTATGTAAGGAACCAGTCTTCGCGGGGATATCATTCGAAACTGTTGCCTGTCAATTGTCGCTCGTTACGTCGACACGACTCTCGATCGTATTTGTGTGCTCAGTGAAATATTGTTTTTCTATTTGCTGAAGCGTTCGCATCTGTTGTATGTGTCAATGTTGTTATGTTTTGGTGTGAACAAACAAATTAAAGTGAGTGCAAAAATGAAGTGTGAACGAACCATTGTTTCAGTGGAATTGTGAAAACATACAAAAAAATAAGAAGGACAACGGCAAAAAAAGAGATTACAGTACACTGAATTTCCAGTTTTAACACTTTTTTGAATTTTCGTAAAAGGATCGCTGTTCAGTTCAAGGACTAGTGAAATTGTGAAAAATTTAATTCTTTGGATGCTTGGTTAAAAAATAATGAATAAAAGATGGTCATGATGCAATCACCAAATTCGGATACCCCAAAATCAGTTAGCCCATTGAATTCAAACCCGAGCTCGCCAACTGGACAACCACACACTAAGACCAGTACTATTGTGGATAAGAAACTGATCAAATTCGAGCCAATCGTGCTGGAGCGTCCACAGCCAACGAAATTCGATGGGATTTTGTTGGGAAACTTTCATGATAAGGACGATATCGACATGAAAAACCGACCACTAACTTATCCAAAGGATATGTCTGATATCGATGCAAACACAAAGTTTTCACTCGAAAGACTGAAGCAACTAAGCAACCGCAGTTTATATAATCGACACAGTCCCTCCGATGATAGCAACCAATCACCAAAGTACCCGATCGGAGCCAAACTTAACGATTCATCACCGAAAGGTAAAGGCGCTGAAAACGATTTAAATCCATCCGTTAACCCAAATCACAAAATGCTTGTCGGCTGCCACCAATTACCGACATTGTACGCCAATTCCGTTGACATGGATATTGAACGATTGAAATTAGCTAGATGTATGACAAATGGAAAAGAATTTACCGATTTTGGTTTTCGAATACAATTAGGTGAATTCCATTCGGACTATGCTCAAAGTGATACCAGCGAGGAATTGGTAGTGGATGAAAGAACTGATACAATGCCGACGCGTGACACAACGACGGTAGGTGTCCACTTACTGCTTATAATTTTTCTCTATCACGAATTGTCATCTATTGAAATCTAACACTTAGTCTGTAATATCCGCTTTTGGGGTGTGAAAATTGGACTAGTTCGATAAAGATTTTTTTTTCCTCGATAATTATTTTCTCCAAAGTTTCCTTATCAGTGAAATTAAAATTTTGTCAAATTGAAACACATTTTGCTAAGAAAAAAAGAATGGTTAGAAATATTCGGTTTGTTAAACAAACAAAAAATCATTTTGTTCAAGCAAAACAGGAATTTTTCTTCAAACGTGATGCGTGATATTTTCGGCAAAGTCCGCCTGAATCGTTGAATTTGGCTCATTTGAATACAATTGACAAGTAAATTAAACAGAGAAAAATCCTGACATTGACTACAAATTGAGTAGCTTGTGGAGATGTGTATAAATGAGCATATGATGTTACTATGCGAGAATATTTTTTAATTCTCTTCCACCTGCGGCAGCTTGAAGCTCCTTTCTTTGATGAATCGATTCAAAATTTTCAAAAATTCGCAAACACTTCAATAAAGTCCGGAATTATTTTAAGTAGATCAAGTCCAGTGGGCTATATATTTAAAAGACATTATTAAATGATAAGTTGAAAGTTTTAAAAAATGTTTGCATTATCTCATAGATAAAATATCACAATGGTCGCCATACGCAATTATTGCAATTTTTTTGTTTAAATCTTTTGTTATTGCAATTGATCTACCACGCTCTCTTTCCTGACCGATCGGAACTAAATACCATTCTATTATTTTCAAAAGTAGAGCCATTCCGATTATGTGTTCACACACAAAGAATTTAAACCCGTTCTAAATTTCAACCTGAGTGTAGTCGTTCATAGTACCCGTGTAAATGACTGACTGACTTTAGATTCAGATGACTGTAGTTGATTGAATTTATGTTTTTGTATGAAGAAAATCACTTTGTCCCAAAATAAGCAATTTATTTTAACTGTAACTTTGAATGATTTCACTTAACTTTGATAGACTTACACTACACGTTGTACTGAAATGTCAATAAAAGTAAGTCATTTTTGTCTGAAATAAGTTAACTGACTGGTCAGTTACAATATTCGCACACGGGTAGAAACACACATTTTTCATCTGCCCGGAATAAGCAGGAATACCTTCCCAATCAACAGAGATAATTAGTTTTTACACATTTTGAACGCATTCAAAAATTGTGCAAAATTTTCATTGCTAGCATTTATATTGTTTATCAATTATGCCAAGTGGATCTCTAGTAGCAATTAAAATTGAGCAACGTGAAAGCATCAAAATAACGCTTCAGACGCCTAAGTTTGCAAATTCAGTTCAGCTCATGCCTGCTCAGCTTCGAAAATACACTTTCTGGCTAATGAGAATCAGTAAAAATAATTCATTTGACAGGTTTAACATACCGTTAATTCAACACTATATACTGCGTTCAGTTTGGTCCTCCTTTCGAATCAATTAATACCATTTAAAGTTCTAACAATTCCATTGAAAGTTCATTATAAGTTATTATAGCTCATCAGAATTAATCAGAAAATAAAATTGACTGTATATCACACTGAGCTTTTTTTAAATAGGTTGCAATTTGGCACGTTTTGATTTTCATTTTGTGACTTTCATTACAACAAAAATTCGTTGATCTCTTGAATTTGTGACAGTGGCAATCTAATAATATAATGAATAAGGATAGACGAAATCTTTAGGAAAGGACAAAATGTTTTAAAAGCAATATTTATTAGCACTTATATTTGTGGTTTTATAATCTTGACATTGCCATTCCGCCGGTCATAAGTATGCCGAAATAAGTTTTTACTAACTATATTTTCGTCAAATCTACCTAGTCTATACGTATATAAATCTATCAAGTCTATACATATATAAATTTGGTTGAATAGAATATTTTCTTAATTATTGTTCAAACATTTTTTTTGCATCTTTTCATGATTGCTCATCAGCAGGCGTGTCCAGTCGATTTGACTCGTACAATACCACCGACAACACCGAATACAGACAAAAATGCATGCCGAAAATTAGCGTTTTCCGTGGAGAATATTCTAGATCCAAATAAATTTTGTAGTCGTAAAGAAAATCACAATAGTACGAGACATTGGTTGAACAACGGATTCGAGCGGAATGATCGAAATCAAATGGATGATGATCAAAGTGAATCGCAATCAGGTGATTTATTTTGTTTTTTTTTACCAAAATTATTTTTCATTTAAAATGCCAGTTGTTTATTTTTGGTTGAAGAAATCAAGATTCAATCGGTGTAGTTTTTTTCAACCGTGATAAATTTTGCATAGAAATCGAATTGCTTAAAAGGTTTTCTAGTGAATATGAAATAATTTCACACATATTGGATTTAGGTACAAGTACCTAACTGCAAGAACATTTTTCTAAATCACGTATACGAATCAAATAGAAACATTGTGGTAATATAAAAGCTATCTAAATATAAGTAATCATGTTTCAAAGGATGGAAAACCAGACAAATTTCATTTTAATCAATGCGAACGACGTGAAAACATTTCAATATAGCTTCCGCATTTCAGATTCATTCGCGTCGGATACAAAAGCCATCAAAAAGTTCACACCAAATTTGAATTGTGGCAATTAATCGTAGCACACAGAAAATAAAACAACCAATTGTAACCTGTTGGCATTGAATTACACATTAAATATATAAAGGTATCGTTTAAATTCTTAGATGCAAACAAAATAATCTGGTAAAAGATTATAAACTCATTTTCTGCGATTTCAACGTGGCCAATTCCTCGAAAATCTTAACGGATACACACCCCTGTTATTACCCTTTACACAGTCATCAAGCAACGTTTGTTGCATTTGTTGAAAAATCTGTTTTTCTTCTCCTTTCGGAAACGGATTTGTTACAATTGCTAACGACAGTGACGGCAACCCAAATCGTTTAATGTCGCACGCGTGTTCATCATTTAACCAACAATCAATGTAGACATAAAATGGAAATCTATATTCAGTATACCATCTTGCCACTTTTTAAATAGTTTAACAGCTTCAATTCGTTTACTTGGATCTAAGTGTGGTATCGTGAATCGCAGACGAAATTACAGACAAATTCACGTACAACTCGACGAGCATTTTATTTGGGAAATGTGTTCGTTTTGGTGGTTTTTGAGTGGAGGCTAACAAGTCCAAGGATTAGAACTTTTCGGTACAAAACATAAATGGTTCATTAAATGTTTTTTAAGGATGCGTCAAACATGTTTAACCCTTTTTCACGTCGGTTGTTACGAATTCGCAATCAATTTATTACTTCAAAGTGTATACAATGTAAAATTAAGCTTAACGTTGTATTGTAACAACACATGCTTCCTGAATAGACTGAATTTCGCTCGATGTATTTGAGACCGCTCTTTCGATTCAAATAAAAGAGTCACGGAAAGGATCAGTAATTCTTCGAACAATATTGGAATGTAATTAGATAAATTGATACTAACACATGTTCACAGGTGCAAACGAAATTTCAATTTAAAAAAGTGAAAAATCAAAAATTTTGTGTCAATTGTCCTTCTTTTGAGCGAGGAAGAAGATAAGTAATTTGAGATTTGAATACTTATTTATTCTCATTCTGAAGTTTCACTTAAATATCTGTCCTTCAGTTCTGGAGATCTAGTTCATTGCTGAAGTTGAAATTTGACTCGATTTTTAAGAATCTCCAGTCAATCGTTACTTTATTTTTATTCAATGTTTTCGTTTGTTTACTTCATTGAAAACGGCCGTGATAGAGTGCGAATAAGAAAAGTGAAAATACCCATGTCCATTTAAATTAATATCCAGTTTAAAATGCCCTTAAATTAAATCGAAAATTTACACTTTTCCTTCGTGCTGCATGTCGGACTGGTGACTAGTCAGTTTGCTTTTAATTCGACTTATGCATAACATTGATAGGGTATGTGCCGCTTGGTCAGCGGCAATGAAGCAAATGCAATCCGCGTGTATGGAGATTGAGTTTGGTTGCGCGGTTTGCTGTTGAATTTGTTTGTTGTCGCATATGTATCCTATGCGACCACAACGTAATGTATACGTCGCGCAATAATCGACCCCAAGCTATAACATAATTTTCCGGATGGTGTCAAACCGCCGACAAGTGTATGCAATCGCAATGGTTTGATCCTCTCAATTAATTTCAATTTTAAATTGATTTGCCGGCTATCCTATTGATTTGTATATATATTTATGTCTGCATGTGTGTATATATATACATATGAATGGGCAAGCGGAATAATGAAACGTAATTCTGTTTTCAAATGAAGTGCCTCTGAGAAAATTTTTCAGTAAAAAAGCCCCACAAAAATATTGTCTGATAAAAATTTGTATGAAAATCTTATTCAGACAATATTTTTGTGGGGCTTTTTTACTGAA